AGAACAGGGAAACGAGTACCATTTAGTGTGTCACTCCAAAAAATCAAAGTATAACTTTGAAATTTATCACTAGTATATTCAATAAGAAAAGGAACCAAAAGAAAGTTGCACTTAAAAATATGGCACTAATGCTACTACACTGAAGCAAGGAAAACTACCGAGGAAAAAGGTACCATTTGAAATTTATCACTAGTATATTTAATAAGAAAAGGAACCAAAAGAAAGTTGCACTTAAAAATATGGCACTAATGCTACTACACTGAAGCAAGGAAAACTACCGAGGAAAAAGGTACCATTTGAAATTTATCACTAGTATATTTAATAAGAAAAGGAATCAAAAGAAAGTTGCATTTAAAAATATGGCACTAATGCTACTACACTGAAGGAAAAGTACCGAGGAAAAAGGTACCATTTGAAATTTATCGCTAGTATATTTAATAAGAAAAGGAATCAAAAGAAAGTTGCACTTAAAAATATGGCACTAATGCTACTACACTGAACCAAAGAAAAGTATCAAGGAAAAAGGTACCATTTGAAAATGATACTGATACGTCACTACGGGAAAAGGGACCGAGAAAGTGGATCAAAAAATAAAAGTATCACCTCGATAGTATAACCAGGGAACTAGAACGAAAGAAAAGGTACCATTTCGAGATACAACGCAAATACACCATCACTATGCCACTTGGAAAGAAGAGACAAACGAAAAGAAGCGATCGAAACAAGATGTGTGCCGCTGAATGTACCATTTTCGAGAAAAGAACTCGAGCTCGATCGAAAAGCGAAGAAACCAAGGGAAGAAGACAACCAAAAAAAAAATAAAAAAAAAAAAAAAAGTGCTGTGTACTGGCACCTGCGCTCAGCGCACCCACCTTTCTCAATGCTGTCAGCCGGCCTCGAAGACGACGTCTGGGTCCTCGGGATCCGGTAAACGCGTGGCCGAAGCTCTCAGGAGCCACGAGATCGAACAGAGGCGCGGATCGTAGCACGCACGCGGTTCACCAGCACCATGGAACCCGCGACGAGAACGAGCATGGCCACGAAAACGAAACGAAACGAAACGAAACAAAACGAAAACGATCCCTCGTAAGGAGAACTTTCACCCGTACAGAGACACGGATCCTCCGCCCCTCTCTCTTTCTCTCTCTCTCTCTCTATCTTTCTTTGCCCTTCGTTCGACCGGTTGAAAATCGACAGGATCCAACGAATGGATGGCACCGATCGATCAACGATCAACGATCGACGATCGACGAGAAACTGAACGACAGTCGGTCGGCCGATTTCTGGAAGGATCGGGCGGCAGGAGGTGGGACGCGGCGGCGGCGGCGGTGGCTACGGCGCGATCGATCCATCGATCGAACCGAGTGGCTGTTGGAGGCGCGGCGTGGAGCGGCCCGACGCTCCCGACGAGATCGTGCGACTAAAGCTCGCGCGCGATCCGCGAGGACGCGCCGCGGACCGACCGAGCCAGCCACCGTTGCCCCCACTCTGCGCCACGCTTTAAATAAACTGTATCGCGCAGACTCGCGGCCGACTGCCGACGATCTCTCTCCTTTTCTCTCTCTCTCTCTCTTTTTCTCTGTGCCTCCGCCACCGCCTTTTCTTTCTTCATCGTACGCTCCCTTTCTATTCGACTAGCTTCTTTCTTTTCCTCTTTTTTCTTTTTTCTTTCATTCGATGGTCCGATTTTCGCGGACTTTCAATTTCGTGGATTCTCTCGCGTTCCGTCTGGGAAATTCGTTCTTAACTCTCCTGGGACCACCAAGTCTGGTTTTGTACACTGTACAGTTTTATATAATTATAGTTAACCGTAATATAAGTAATAATAGGGCTACCAAAGTGGCCGAAATGGCCAATTTATAATTTTTGTTGGACATTTTATAGATGTAAAGCTGTATTTAAAAATTTAAGTATAGTATTTTTAATGATTTAAATAATTTTTTTTGTAAAATATATAAATAGAAAGATTTATATATATATAGAAAGAATATGAAAAGTTTAAATAATTTTTCGTAAAATATATGAAAAGCTTGTATACTCTATTATATTATAAAGTTTTCTCTGTGTTTTCCCTTCTTTTCTGTCTTCAATGCTTCTAATGGAAATTTTATGTTTGTATGTTTTGGTATTAATTGCAAATTAAGAAAGGATCGTAAATTTGTAGAATATTTTCACTTTCCGTTGCCAGATGATATATAGTATCTATAGTTCCGATATGGATCGAATAGTGACCCGGATTTTTGGAAAATTTCGAGGTTCAAGTGAGATGGAAAATTGTTTATGATTAAAACTCCGTTTCTGCTACAAATATTAAACTTGTCTAGTAAACGAACAGTTCGTTTTTCGAAAATATACATACCCATTCTGAAAACTGCGAACTTCCCTTATTGCAAGATCGAGCGCGATCAATAGTACATACAATTGAGAGAAATATTACCCAGAATGGAAATATTACCTACTGACGCGGGAACTAATCTCGAACAAGCAATTTGTCTTGTTAGGTAATTAAAATGCGAACTTCGTTGTAAGATAGAAGAAAATAAGAGAAATGTTATACTAAAAGTATTAAATGTTACATAAAAAAAAAATATAGAGTGAAAATATTATCCAGTGACGCTAGAAATTAATTTCGAACGTGTATGTATCATTCGGTTGGGTGATTGAAGTGCGAATTTTCCTGTAAGATGGAAATAAAAAAAAAAAAAAAAACTATTGAATATCATATAAAAAAAATATTACTTGTTGACGCAGAAAATTAGCACCTTGTCCGGCTAGGTAATTAAAATGCTCGTTAAACGTCGATCTCGTGCGTCTTCGAACCTAACGAAGCGCACCTATCCACCTAATATTCATGCGAGATTCGTTGTTCATCCAGATAGGCATTAAACATTGGTCTGATTATCTCCGGATCGATGTCAGATACCGCGGTTTAATTGCCGCGGTCTAATTAACAACCGTGTATTATGTAACCTGCCTGTGCAATTAACATAGATGGCTGCATCGCAATTCAACATTTTCGCGATGAAAACGAGAAAGCTTCGAGATTGTTTGTTCACCTCGCGAAATAAATTCCTCGAGATTAAAGCAACGGGGACGTAATTTGAATAAATGCTATAATTGTTGTAGTGTGTCGTTTTGATTGTCGTTTCGATTTCAACTCGTTTCGTACGCTTTCGATTGTAGTTAAAGAAAAGGAAACAAAGAAAATAAAAGAGATGAGAACAGTCCTCCTCTTGTGAAGACAATAATTCCCTTAGGTTTTTCTTGGATGAATAAAAGAAAATATTGTACAAAAGTCTCTTTGGCGTATGAATGCATACATTTTATTTTATTATACATTTACTATACAGTGTGTTGTTTTAGATACATTTAAAATTATTTAAACTAAAGGAACGAAATGTCCAACATTATTGTAATATTTATATTAATTATTGTATAATGTTAAATTATTCAATTAAACATTAAATGATAATTTGTATAATTTTATTGTGTGGACGAACTTGTATAAGTAGTATAGTATAATCTAACGTAGGATGGTTTCAAATTAATTTACACGACATCACAAATAGTCTGCGAGTCTATTTTCTTACAATTAATAGATAAGCGATTCTTTCATAGCGGGAAACTTATTTCCTTCTTTTCTAAATTAGTATTTAATTTCTTACAGGACGATTAGACTCGTAAATGAAATTAAATTGAAAGTAATTAGAAATCTTGGACATAATTTGAAATTTAAAGATTTTGATAGACTTGGTAGATCTCAAGTTGATACGACGATCTGATATTTTATTATCATCATTAGTCGCAACTCTTATTTTTACTTATATCTTTATTATCATTCTGTGAATGTAAACAGACTGAGAACTTCGGACATAATTAAAAAATTTTTTAAACCCCAGTAGATAGAAGATAAGATTTCAATCGGGGCCGAAATTCCATTTATGTGCTTTTCACGAGACCACCAAAACCCAATTAAAGCCTAATTAATGCCAGATTTTATTAAATCGACATTTCTTTTTGTAATTAGAGAACTTCTGCAATTAAATCTGAGCAAAAGTCGCGGAATGAATATTTTCTTTGGCGGTTTCGCTCTTCACGTGAATCAACTTGTTGCGTTTTTTTTTTTTTTTTTTTTTTTTTTTTAAATTTAAAAAACATTTTTAAGGATGTGTTTCAGCAATTTTCTGATATTAAACATTTTGCCTTGTAGTAGCGTGTAGTAATTTTTAGTTTTCACCTATGGGATTGATACAGAAATTTACTTTCGTATTGTTTCAGCAATTTTTTGAAATCGAAGGTACTGTTTCGAAAAAGAATATCGTTATTGTTGTCAGTATATAGCAGCTTTCGCACTTTTTACATTTTTTTTTTTTTTTTATCTGCGAAATTAATACAGAAATTTATTTTTGCTATATTGTTTGCACTTTGGCAATTTTCAAAATCAAATATTCTGTTTTCTGGGCAGAAAAGTATCATTACTATTGTTAACGTAGAATAGTTCTCGTTCTTTTCCCATTTTTATCGCCGCAAGAATTTAATTTCGTATTATTATTAATAATAGCTCGTAACAATAATTTTTGTATTATTAATTCTAATTTATTATACGTATTCGTATTTACATACGTAGGTTATAATTTATTCTCGTACTGTAGTCACATTTTGTGAATGAAACTTTGAATGCTTTCGACAGGAAGGATAATAAAGAACTCGAATGCTGTGCTCTTATCTAAATTTGCCTTCGAGTTAAAATTTATTTACTTTCCCTGCGTTTCTTGCAATGCGATAAGACGCTGTGCTTTGCTCTTCTTCCTCATTTAGTAACGTTCGAGCCTTCGTCTGTCGATCATTTCTGAATGACAAATGTTGTACCATGAGAAAGCTCACTCGCCCCTTCTCTTCGATCAAACTCCTAAATTTAGAGCAGGTTGTCGATAACACAGTATCGTTTTTTTTTTTTTTTCGTCATATAACGTCCAACTGTTAATCGTCGTCTAACGGAATTTGTCTTTGCATATCTATTTTTTGTGCGTGACAGCTCGAATTGGAGAAAGCGTTGCTGTCTGCGGAATACGAATCGGAATCGTTGAAACTCAGTCAGGACGAGGGTGAAAAGATAAAGGTGCAGATGCGGATAAACGAATTAGAGAGGCAGATGGCTGAGGATAACACGAGCCAGGCGAATTTGCAAGCGGAAGCGAAACAGAAAGTGCAAAGGGCTCAGCAAGCTTGCTGCCGTTTAGAGGAGGAACTGGCGAATTGCATGGACGAAATTGTGCACCAGGATATTAGCAAGAAGCTTATGGCTCAGCAAGACATTCTGGAGTCGGAAAGGAAGGCTTTTGAAGATTTGGAGTTCCATCATTTGGAAGAGGAAGCGAGCAAACTGGCAACCAGGGAAGAATTACAGAGGTAAATCTATTTCACGCAAGATTCTACGATTAAATTTCTTCGATTAAACTTTCGTTATTTGTTATTTTATTTCTTTCTTTAATCGTTTTTATTCTCACTTTCTCCTTCCTTGTCGAAATACTCGTATAAATTCATTTTTAATTTCTGGAGTGGTCACGTAGATTTTTAAGATTTGCAGTTTTCGCCTGAATGTTCTAGACAGTGATCTCTCGCCTCGTATTGTAAATAGCAATATTGCCGCCACAGTGCAATGGTTTTCTACTGATAACTTGTGAGACAAGGATCGATCGAGCTTACTACAAATTTACTAGCACAAATATCATTTGCGACGTTTCAGATATTTGAGCGAATTGACGACCAAAATAGAGACCAGGAAAGTACGACTGAGCCATTTGGAAGCGCAGAGATCTGAAGCAAAAAGCACGGCGACTAAAGATGCAAGGAGCCTCGAAAGACAGAAGCTAACGCATTTGAAACGGTTGGAAGAAGTTAGTAAATCTGGCAGATTTAAATCTGTATCGCAGAATATATTCGATTCGAAAGAAAGCAAGTCGTCTCCAACTTCTTTCTTTTGATTCTTGTGTTTGATTTTTTTTATCGTATCGTGACAGGGTCGAAACCGAGTTAGAGCGATTAACGATGAACTGATAAAGTTGGCGCAAAATTCTTGCGAGAACGGCGACGAGAAACGATCTCCGAGCAGGGAAGACTTCGACAGGATCTCCAGGGTCACTACTGACTCTCCCATTGTAAATAATCAGGGCAGCTTGGGAAGGAAGACTATCGAATCCCTCAAAGAAATTGAGAGAAATCGACAGCTTCATTTAGCAAAACAAGGTAAATTATTAATTTGTATTTGCATATGTTTCTCTTGTTATTTGTATAAATAAATTTTACAATAGAATAGAATATAAATAGTATGAATTTTACAATATAATATAATATAAAGAGTATGTAATATCTATTATAATACACATAATAGTAGCATATAGCATTTTTTCTCAACAAAATACAGTCGAATCTTCATAAGATGAAAATTCTCTACAACTCAAAAACTTGAATTATTTATTACGTGTTTGAAATATATTTTATCTGTACGAATTCAGAAATCTCTATAACTACGATCGATTTACAAATATAACTCAATGTTAAAAGGATTAATGGAGTAAATCAAGGAACAATTTTTTCATTTGTCATTCTATCCTTTGAATTGTAAACTCTTGTTAATTTTTATTATATTAAATTAATGTCAATTTACTCATAATCTCTGTAAATCGAATTCTCGTTTGTTAAATCTCCCTTATTCGAAAATTCGACGAGGCGAAAGCTGACATAACTGAAAGATTTTTTCCTTTTCTCTTTATTAAACTTGCGAGAATGCTATTCGTGTTACAGGCAGCCAAGTAATTTCGGAAGAAAGACGAAGAGTGGAGGAACTGAAACGAAGAGTACAAGACGAGGTTCGATCGCAGTGGGAAGAAAGAAAGATGAACTGTACGTCTTTCAACAGCGTTGAATCAGGCGAAGAATCCTCTAGTTATTCAACGGGGCCAACAGAAAGGTGAGTCACACACGCTCAATCACATGTTGCCTTTAAAATGCAAATCATTCTCCGTTTGTTTTCATAAGAAAGCGAAAACAGACGAAAATTGCACGGCTCGTGTTTGAGAATCACACAACAGAATCCTGAGATTTCCGTTTTACATTCACGCGCGGGATTTCCTCGACAAGAATGGTCCTCATCGTCTTGAGAAAAATAACAAAGCGACGAACGCGTTTCGAATTTTGTGAAATGATGTGAAAGGATGATTCCATTCTTATGTTCCATTCCGTTTCCAAATGCAAATATTTGATTGAGAAATGTATATTGAATTTAAAATAATTTAAAAAATTTCGAAAGCAATAGTAAAATAATTTTTAAATGGACAAGTAATAGAATAGTATAAGAAAGAATACGTTTTCACAATTCTCTAAGTTCCAAGTGCAAGTAATTGAAAAATATATTGAACTTAAAACAATTTTATCAACATTTGCAAAGCAATAGATAATGGAAGATGAAGACATAGATATCTGATAAAAAACATTTTTAAACTTAGATAACGTGAACATAACATTCAATAGAGAGTTTCAAAGTGCTCAAAATGATGGTTAGTAAGTGTACAATAAATATGTTCTTTGTACGTATATATACACGAATGGCGAAATCGCTTAGTTTTATTAGTGATCGAACATTTTAGCAGTAATGGCCAAACGTGTCTTATCTGTAGGCTTAGTGATAGAAAAATCATCGACGAGCTCGACGAAAATAGCAGACGCTTGTGTCTTTCTCGATTAAAAATTATCGTTCGTAACTGGTTGATTTAACAATTTTAATTGACGAATATTAAATTGAAAAGTATAATTTGAGCTGTATATGTATTGCACTGTGCTGTATATTTGTCAATATACAAGCTTCAATTTATCTATTTTGCAGGTAATCGCTTAAATCTCTAAAAATACATTGTTTCACATTTATGAAATTTCTAATAAAAATTATAAATCGGTCATTTTGATCACTCCGATAGTTCTAGTGTTAGCAAAATATTCCGACTGCAAAAGATCGCTACCGAAAGTAGATGGAAAAAAGCGCGTTAATAAAAAAATCCACTTAAGGGTCGAGGGGCATTAAACACGCGGCTATCCGTGACACTTAATAGACTCTCGCGAGTAACGAGCACTCCCCGAGTTTTTCCCCCCCGAGTTTGTAAATGGAATAGCAGGTTGTGCAACAGAGCAAGAAACACGCGGCGCACGTGATCGACTCGCGCGAAGTGTCTCTCGTCACTTTTAATCGGCCAGTTTCGCGAAACTGGAATCCCATCGAGAGTAAAAGGTGTCGTTGGCAGCCTTCGTAGGTAAAAAGAAGGCGCGGTCGCGAATGTCGCGACGCGAGGAAGCCTCCGAATTGGCGTCGCACGATTGCAGATCGTCCGGCTGATTGCGCCGCCGGCAATAAAACGTTTTATCGGCTCTGTTGCTTGTCCCACACGCGTTGCTTCGACACGACTGGGTGGGGTGTTATCAGCCGATACGGTATCTGTTGCAGTGAGCTGCCTTTCCGCGGTTAGCTAACAACGTTGACACGTCGTTTCGTACTCATCCTGGTGTTATTGTGATTAATGAAAGTGTAGAAATGTGTACAGAGGAATTTGAAGGAAACGCGTTCACGGTTCGGATAGATTCGATAAACTGGAGTGGGATTTCCTATAAGCGTATCGTGTAATTAATTATACTCGACTGGACGAAATGTGCATGTTCCCGATTTTCTATACGCAATTTTCAAACGTTGCGCCCGACTCGGAATTATTCGCAGTAGGACGTTCATTTCTACATCTGCTGAGAGTACACGCACCATGACCCGACTTTTATTTACCATTCTTATCAATTCTCTTCGAGATTTCCCCTGACATTGCAAGTTTCTTTTCTTCTATTTGCGTTTTTCTATCTTTCGTTTCGTTATAGTTGCTCCAAATATACACTGTAACTTAACGTGACAAATGGACGATTCAGAAGCTAATTAGTGTAAGTCACTTTTCATTAAAAAGAATTTCTGCCACACAAATACCTCTTTATTGTCAAAATCTTCTGATGGGAGAGTTTAATCATTATAATATAATCATTAGAATATTATAACTAAACTATTCCATTAATTGAAGAGTTTGAGAATGAAAGTATAATTTTTAATGGAAAATGACTTGCACCAATTGACTTTCTGGAGTCTTCATTAAAAATGAAAACAATACTGAGAAACAGTTGACGACACAACTGTTAGATCAGGAAATTTCCGAATGTTACAGGTAGATAATTAATTTAACGTGACAAAAACGTGTTAACCAAACGAAGTATATTTCTTTACGCAATTTTCAAACGTTGTTATTTATTAGTCTTATAATTTTGAAAATTTTTTTTTCTATCTTCCACTTCACTAAAACCTGACAATTAATAAAAAAATTGCAATCTTTTAGTTCAAAGAATCTCCGAACGTAGCAAGTGAACGATTTTTAATGTCAGACACTTTGTTGACGCTGATGGCGTTTGAAATATAAAATATAAAAAAACTCGTATATAAAAAAACAAAAACAAACTTCTCTATGTGTATCATCATAAAAAGTAGACTATTTTTAAATTCCTCATAATTCTTGTCACTGTAGAATGATCAATAATGAATGATAAATTATACAAGCCTTCAGCTTTTTCCAATAAAAGAATTCGTCACGTTAAAATTCTGAAATCGTTGGCAGAACGTGATCGAACTAGGATTGGAGCATTGTAAATACGTACTCGTAATGTAAATACGTACAATCTAAACTAAATGGAATAATATTTAATCGAGCCGAGAGCGTATCGATAATGCGGATCGAGCCTTATAGGAAATCCCACCTTAAGACAGATGTTTCTGAAATGAATCTTGGCGAACAGATTCAAAAATGTATATTACAGAATAAAGGATTCTGCGTAAATATTCAACATAGAATTCTAAGTGACGAACTTTAATCGTAAGTTGTAAATGAATACATCTTTAGATTTCAAGGATAAAACAGTGTATCCAATGATTTTTTGAAGAGCAATAAAACCACTAGAAGTTGAACTTTGATTGTATAGTTTTGGAGCAAAAATTAAGAAATTCAGAAAATGAAACTAATCGATGTAACTTCCATGTGGCTTGCACCAACTGGATCGCGGAGTGGCTGTGTTTGATAATGAAGAAATCGTGGTACTTTAATCGCCGTTACGATAGAAAACTCGAAATTTTATTCGAGCGATAAGATAAACGCAACTCGAACGAAACGTGTAGAAAATCCTGTTAGATTTCACGGATATATCTTTCGAGGGGGAAATTAGTGAAATATGTTTCATGCTTCGAAAGTTTTCTTGAACGCGAAACAAACAAACGAATCCACAAGGGATAGAATTTCGCGGTATTAAATGAAATCAAAGTTGCAGGTGCAATTCGAATAACGTTTATTGAAGAAAACCGATTCATCGTTATACCGCAAGATCATAACAAAGCAAGGAACATCGCGACAAGCGTAATAAGCCAAGCGATATAAAGATTGATTTATTTGATAGATTGTACTCGTAAAAGTGTCTTGGGTGGCTTTGAGATTTATCGTGTGGAAGAACAGAATCGAGTAGAAAGTCCAGGGAATCGATCGATGACCTAAAGAAATCGTCAGTGATAAATGAAGAAACTGTGTGGAAAATGAAACGATGTAAACACGAATACAGTGAGCTTCAACAGGCTAAAATAATTAGAAATTCATTCGCAAAGAGTCGTGTTTTGCTTACTATTACAGCTTTGTTACTTACATCACTGTGTTGATACCAAACGTTATTTTTTTTATCTGTGACGATTATTATTGGCTTCTGAACTACAGATTAAAACAGAGTGTGATAAGAGAGAAAGTTACAACTCTTTTTTTTTTATATAAACAACGGAACTGTGACAATAGACTATATGTTATATAAAAGACGACAAAAGTGAAAGTGTTCGAATATTCTTCGAAATATTACGATAAAATATAAATATAGTAACATAATCAAAATTATCTTATATTATGCTATATTTGTCATAAACCAGTTACCAGACTTACAAATGCATCGCTGCTGGATAATCACGTCAAATAGTCACAACATTTACTTATTACTCTGTATAACAAGAACCTAAATATGCAAAGTTAAAATAAAAACAAATATTACGTTGTAATTGTATATTATATAGCGAAGAAAATTTTCTAAAAGCTCCAAGATACGTATATACGTAACAACATAACGTGTTATTTATCTCGCGAAACTATATCACACGCTGACGCGTGCATTTTTCAAAGGTGGAAACACAATCAGGGGAGTTCCATTAAGATAAAAAGCGAGGAGAAACGAAACGAAATATTTATCGTTGAAAAACATGGTGTCGTCGACGAGAACGAGAAATTGACAATGAGATGACGCAGATGAAAATTTGCTACCGGGGTCGAGTTGAAAGATTTTCTTGGATAATGCACGGTGATCGCGTGTGTTGAACGAAAGGGTGCGAATCGAAGGGAGGAGAATGCACAAGAATGAACGCAAGGGAAGTGGGTGCGTCCGTTTTTAACGAGGCTAGGCTCAGAGGGTGCAGCTTAATCACTTTCCTCACTAGCAATCGCCTTTACATTGTCAGCAAGGATTGGCTTCATGAAAATTGCTACCGACCCCTGGAAACGCGATCACGCGAGTTTCGTCATCGGTACTTGTAAGTTTGCAACGATTTGGTTTTTTATTTTACTCATGATTTTGAAAGGTTAAAGATCAAAAGTCTGATAGATTTTAATAAAAAGGTGTAAGTTTAAATTAGATTTTTGTATCGGACATAAAATTGGCTGTCTATTAATTTCTCAGATAATTATATATTACGTAAGTAGTAAAAAACGCTTTAGTATTGTGTTCGAATTAGAAGAAAAAAATATAACATTGTAAAAATCGTGAAAATTCGTGGGATATTCATCGTACGTATCAAAATTAATTAAATAAGATATGCGATAAATTTCACATAATTTCTAATTTCGCAAAGGATCGTCATTAATATCTAGTAAATTACGAATTCTTCACTCTTGCCTGAAGTACGTGCTGAATGTACGATTTTACTAAAAAGAAGAAGGTTAATAGCCGGAATAAATCTGACCTACTCGTTGTCTTCTTTCATCTCTCATTTTACGCTCGTTTATCAAAGGACCTCTATTTCAAGTGGTCTTCTCAAATTTTGACAAGGTTCCAGAGGAACAGTTCCATTTAAATGGCCACTTTATACACATACATATTTGATGGCTCACACCTCTTACTCGGTATTAATATTCTTTATCAAATATATCTTTAAAAATTATAATATAAATTTTTCTACAATATTGTTATATTATCAAATTAAATGTAAATTATATATTAATATCTCCAATTTATATTTGAACTATAATCACAATTACATTCTAAAGATATACAAATATCTTCAAAAATCGTAATTATCATACTACCGGTTGAGAAAAAAGAAAGAAAATGAAACCAATCATTTTGACGAATTTCCTACATCAATGAGAGAAGAAAAGAAAGGATTGCATCTAACGAAATCACCCTATATACACGTGATCCGCATTTCCCTGTCCATGGCGAGGCAAACACATCTTTCTCTCATTCGCGCTCTCTCGCGATCGCTCTATCTGTCTCTGTCCTCCCTTTTCTTTTTCTCTCGCATGACTCCACCTTCTCGACAATGACCACATCCACGGACACCGAGAGCACGGCAAAACGAGCAAACGGAACGAAAAAGATGACCCTGTTCCTGGGAGGGCCAAGGACAACGTTTCCATAGCAACGGGATCGAAAAGAGTGTCGTCGGGCACGGTTGGACATTGTAGAAGAATTAAATGCTATGCTGGTGGCACCGTCGAACCGGTCGACCGAGTCACTTTGTACTTGTTAGGTTTTAATAATACCTGCTGCGACTATGGCCTCGCCGGCAGTGGCGATCCTCGCCAGCTAGAAGTGCCTTCTGCCGTCTCCTTGTGCCTTTTTTCGTGACCGCGCGCGGTACAAGCTTACGGGACCAAAGTTCGAACACGCGAAACAAGTAGACTGCTCGAAAGAAGCACATCTGGTGGATTGCGTGAAATGAAAACCGGTGATAATTCGAAGCGAACGATTATTCGATCGACGTGAATCGATTGAGAAGGATGCGTCGCTCGTGTGGTCCGTATGTGCCACGATGCTTACGACTGCTTCGAAATCGTTGCCAACCAACTTTATTTTCTGCATTTTCTTGTAACCGTCGAAATAATACGTAGGGATCGTTGATGATCGAGAGTTTCGAGTTTGCTAACGACAGTTGGAATCTTTCTTCGTTACCATTGTACGCAGTGCCATAAATTATTAATGGCTGATCTTTCGCTTAATTTTTGTGTCGGCGTGGTTTTGAGTCAGTGTTGTTGGTTATCGGATTTCTTTTAAGCAAAAGAAACATAAACAAAATTTCGCTTGCTTACAAGAGAGAAAAATTATTGGTTAAGTGTAACTATTTATTTCGATTTAAGATAACTAATAATTGTATTGGTATCTTGATAATGACGAAATCGATGAAATACAATGGTGAAGAAATAAATATACAAGTCTTCGAAATGTGTTACACGAGTTAATATGTTCGTATACTGTACGAAAATTATCACTGTAGATAACACGTTCAACCGTGGGAAAAGTAAACGTAGAATATTAGCTTAAAGCCAAATATTCAATTTCAATATTGAATATTCAGTATTTAAAATATTCAACAGGAATATTGAAATCTTCATGGTTGAATTTATTTTTGCTTATCGGAAAAAACCGGTACGGTCGTACGTCACTGTTTTTTTGCTTTTGGTGCAATGTACAATGCTAAAATGACAGAGTAGAATAATATGAAAATGAGCAAAAAGATGAAATAGATACTTTACTTCAATGGTTACATATAGTGTTATAGAGGATTTAAGATAAAATAGAAAATTTAAAGATGAATTTTAAAATTGCTACGATAGGAAAATAACTGTGTAGAATATAAATCTGCATAGCTGAGTTTAATTTAAACCATTGGTGTAGAAGTTTCTTTTGTGACTGTCATATTCTTTCGATAGAATACGATCTCGTCTGAAAATAGAAATCAATTAACGATACGAATGAACTTGTAGTGGCAGTGGAAGCAGCGACAGTGCAGAGGGTGGAACCAGCGAGAAATTGTCTCCTAGTAAACTTTCGGAACTTACGTCATCCAGTCCAGGACCTTCGAATAATTCCTACAGTCTGCTTCAAAATGATAACGTGAGTACATGAGAAAAATCTTTCCTCAGTTTTTAGTGTGTCTCTTGATTAGTCTTTTTTTTCTTTAAAATTAATGAATTCTAGATGCTCACGAAAATATCCGAACACTTCTAAGAATTTTTTTACCAAATTTATTATGTGTGTTATATAAAACATTTTAATATTTCATTAACAGTATGAGATTTGACTATCGTGATTATATTAGTTAAATTTAAACCATATTTAAAAATATGTAAAGGAATTGCGAGATATTTAATATAAATGTGTATATATATATATTAAATTATTATTCAATTATAATGAACTTAAATTATTAAATTTAATTATTAAAGTATTTAAACATATATATATATATATCTTTTAAACCATCTTTGTTCATTACTGTTTCAAATTGTAATAATACAATCATAATACATCATAATAGTCGTTTCTCATTGCAATGTTAATAAAATTTCATGATATTTCATGCAACAAACAATATTTTCTTTGAAAGTTTCTTTATAGTAAGCGTTCAAACACTTTCGTGAAGCACTGTGTATTGAGTTCCGCAATAAAGGGTATCGATTAACGATTAATCAACTTCCGGATAGAAGTTTTTTTTTTTCTACTTTGAAAAAGAAAAGAAAAGAAAAATGATACTGCAGATGGACATTCGATCGATACTGACGGAAGACGAATTCACGTTTTTGACTAGGAAGTATAAACAGGTTCTGCGAATTCCCGGTGATTAAAGCTTGACGAAACGATTAAATCGATCGAACACGTGACGAGTGGGATATTTACCGTGACATAGCGATTTCTTCGTAACCATTTAAAGCTGATGTACGGTGAATTAGAAGAGAACCATTAGTATTTCGCCTAGTTGCCAAGATATTTGTGCTTAGGGGAGAAATATGAGTCATCTCGACGGACGAAACGTCGAGGACTTTGATGGATTGGGATTGAGCGTTCCAGTTTGCATCGAAAGAGGGAAGAATTAGTGAAAAATGTGAGGAATCTCATTGCGAACTTCTTTAAAATTAAACGTCAAAATTAAGTCAGGTTTGTTTTACGAAATTTCAAACGAAACGCAATTCTCTATGCTTATTGTTAGTGATTTCGGCCTTCCGATTGTTAATAATCACAATTCTATTAAGAATGTGAATGCAATATGATGCATTTCTATCTTTTCTATCTTTTCTAATTTTATTAGATTTCTATCTTTAGATATTTTAGAGTGTTCGTTGAATTTTATTAATCTAATTTTATAATCTGATCATTAATAATCAAAAATAACTGCCATTGCAATATGACGAATCTCTACCTTCAGATATTTTATACTTCAGATAGAATTAGAATAGAACTTTATTCTTCTTATCTTCAGATAGATTTATTTTTTTTCCCATATATATCTGAGTTTTCTTGTTTTTTTTTTTTGTTTTATAATAATCATTCAATAATTTTTTAATAATAAAGTTATTGATTTTTCAAAAGAACCAACTATCATATTGTTATAATTTAATTCAATTTTATAAGATGCATTTACTCTTTTAAATTAACAGATAAAAACATCTAAATATCAACTTTTTTTTATACTGAAGTTCGAAATATTGATATTGATGCACATTTTTTTTTTAATACATTAATCCCGAGTCAATAATTGTAGAGAATTTTGTTCCGCATCAAATCAATCGATACTGACGAGTTCTAACTTAAACGTTCTATCATTAAAAAGCAAATAAAAGTCTGGCTCCTATATTTATCTGTTGTTCGCCGTGTGATGCCGATAAAAGTTCAGCGGTTAGTCATCCGATGTTCGTTTAAATTCGAATCAATTCGGTTTTTATAAGATGCGTTAGAAAGACTAATAAACAAATAAACGCAGCAAAGTAGAAAATTTGGAAATATAATTTATATAATATCGTGATTGTTTCAAACGATTAAATTATTTATATTATTAACAATTGAAATTATTTATATTATAGGTACAATCAAAATGTTACAAATTATTATATAGTTTCCACATTTCGAAATTACGCGAATTTAGTTGATATTTCATATTTAGTTTATATTTCATTAATCACCAAATTTGTAAATATCATTAGCTTTCTATAATCTAAACTTCTTATAGTTTTTGCTGTTATATTATTTATTATTAATGATAATAGCACGAAATGTTAATAAAAAAATATTGCACATTTTTATGCATTTACAGAAAATTTGAATAACGTCAAAGTTAGAATACTTTTAAAGAAATAGAATCTAAATCATTTATCATAATAAGTGTTCTATTTATATATTCTTGCGCATGTTATGCATTCTGTAGATTTTTGGAATCTTAAATTTCCCGGAAATTCATAAATATCCGCAATCTGTTTATTACAGCAATTAACAGTAATCAAAACAAATATCTATATTTAGGCTTCATTTCTTTAATCATTATATTCACTGAAATACAAAATTACATAAAGATCTGTACACTATTCAATCGCACGTAGCTTGTTAAATGTAAAACAAAAAAAAAAGCAACATAGAATCAAGAGTAAACAGGTTTCTCGTTTGAAAAATTGTTCGCGTGCATCTTAATTTACTCGATCATTTCGATCGATCCAGAACATTCACTTAGACAGCCTAATTTCAGTAATTACGACCGGCGACCACTATACTTAACGAATTCAATGATTTCATCCGGGGTCAAAGAGTAGCTTTGCGTCTTGTAATGAGACGAAGACAGATTTTAAATTACCCACATATTTTCGAAATTCTTCGTGAAACTCGTTTTCGCAAGGAATTTGCAATCTACTTACGAGAGAGAAAGATTCGCGGAATGTTCAACTTCATTTCTTACATTCATAATCATCGTTAGAATATCTCAACTTTGAAAAAGTATGATTGCAAATATCATGGCCACGATGTGAAATTTTTTATCGAGTATCAATAAGTGCTGGATATATTTCAGTGCTTGACGTTTGAGAAAATGTTATCGATCACGTTATTCGTTTCCGATATTCACGATGACTCCGCAAAATAATTCAATTGCACTCATGAATAGTTACTCATTAACAATTGCATTGAAAAATATTGAATTGTTTTACATGATTCGATTATGTCGCAACTGAAATGCAACGTAGAATAATTGAATTACGTAATTCAATTGACATAGCTGCGCCTTCGAAGTAAAATAAAATACTGTTGCATTTGCTTGAAATATGCGAGAATATAAAAATTTCAATTAAAACTGGAGAACGTGAAAGACCTCAATGCTTTCGAATATACAGAACACAGTAGAACTTGTCAAGAAATAATCATCTCCTCTTTTGATTATAACAAGTAGAGTGGAATTCAAGTTATAATAAATGGATTCAACTAACAAGAACCAAGATTTCAAATAAATAAAATAAACATAATTTATAATTCAAATAAATGGAGCTGAACCACAATGTTTCTCGAATTTCGATGTTGTCGAATATTTACGCTTGAGCGACAACTTTCACTAGGGATTATAATAAAAGACGATTTTCCTTTAGTGGAGCGGTGAAAAAAAAAATGATTATAGCACTCGAAGGGAAGCGCGCGAAGATAGATTCATTCGTGGAACACAGAACGATGCAAACACGTTCGTCGACCTCCGTGTAATTATTCGAGGAAGTGATTCGCTGTATTCTTTACTGCCAACCGTAAAGATTTTTCTTAGGTGGTGCGAACCAAATTAGCAAGCCGAATTCTTCAGGGCATCGTTACGGAAAAAAATAACTCGACGTCGCTCGGTCCCATACGATCGTGACGATTTATGAATGCCTTCCCTAAGGAGAACTGCATTTTCCTCGAATCGCGCGTCACCCTCGGTACACAAACACGTTCATCGATCGTTTCGAAAACGAGATTTTGAGTTTCTGGAGATACGTACGTAATATTTGACTGCGCGTTTCTGAGTTTATTATCGTTTCACGTTTGATAGGTATCGGCATTTTCTGAAATATTGCGCTCCAAGGACGACGGATAAATTCGCGCCGATGACGTTCGACGAGTAAAATTCTTCGCTTATGAGTTCCATTCCTAAAAAGACCGCGCCTAGAAATGATGTCTAGAATATTAACGACAAAAGTTAATACTCCGAAGAGAGGAGGAAAAACAAAAGAGAACTCGATTGTTCCTTTCCCATGTGAATTATTAATAGAGATAATTGTCATTATCTCTGAATTATTAAATGAATTATTAACAGTTAAAATGAATTACTCATGAAAATGAATATTGCGGAATTTTGTGTATTTATAGAAAATTTGTAGATACAAATGCAGAAGTATAGAAATAATTCAAAGTATAATACACAATATATTCTACAGGGTTGAAATCCATTTGTGTTATGCGAGAAAATATTTCAAACAGAAATAGTAATTAATAGGCTTCGAACGTGATTCGCGAAAAATAATGGCGTCTGAAATGTTGTAAAGTTATCTCTATTTTTTTCAAATAGAACTACTATTACTAGTAAAATAACTAAATGTATTATTAACAAATACTCATGTTTCCGTGTGGTAGAATTGTTATATTATCATTTAGATATACATATTCATTCAGATATACATATTCTATTGCATCTTTCAATTATTTACGATAAAACGGCAAAGAAGAAAAATGTTCAGCAAAAATTTGTGAAAGCAGTAACAACTATCGAACTAGTTAAAACTATGAATTACAAACAGATTCGAATATAATTCACGAATGCGTTTAAAATTGATAAACTCCCAGTTTAAAATTCCACGTCCCTATAAAAGATTACTTTTCGTGGTAACGATTTCGCGGTTTTTTTAAAACGCATTTTTGTTTCACGCACGCGAGATGACTTTATCAACAAACGAATCTCAACATAGAAGACACGTCTTCGTAATTTATAGCAGCGAGGAGAAACACGGACTTTCGAGTGCGTATTTCACAAATATCTGCACATTCTGGGGCAAATGTTTCCATCGCCGCAATGTATTTTGGAGATGATACGTATCTAGGACTCGATGCGCACTCAA